GGAACGGTGAACGGAGTCTTCCTGAATGTAAAGACGATACTCAAGAGCCATGAGATTATGCAGCTTACCAGTCTCAGATTTGGAATGCTGACTGGACAGGTTATCTGGTAATTCATCCAGCAGGACCTCATCTTTATGATTTGATTCTTCATCCTGCTTCTCATGACTGTCAAGGATGTCCTCAAATCTCACTTTTGAATTGTGGTTCAGGATAATGCAGATTGGGTACTTTTTACTCCAAAGTCTGGTAAAAACAGATGTGAAGAAAATATACTTAAGCTATTTTGTATACTGTTCCTTGATACATGCCTGAATACCATATTAGAATGTCCAGAACTCATCTAACTGAAAGTACAACTTCTCATAGGATATTAAAAATATTAATTACCAATCTAGAGAAAGAGGCTAACTGTAAAAAAGATATCAGTGTCACATTTTATGCTACCTGTAACAGGCCAAATGGGCTTGATATAAAGAATATTTTGACAATGATTACCATAAAGTTAAATACTGAATATATTTTAACCACTTTCCATAGTTCTTTTTCTGAATGAGGTGAAAAAAAGGGTTCAGTTTTATCTACAAACCTTTTCCACTACTTATGAAATGTTATTACCTTCTTCTGGCTAATCCATCTGGTAACAGCTTCAGAGTGCAATGTTCTATGCTATAAATTCGTTGATGATAAAATTTCAATTTGTGGGTACGTTCATTCCACATGGCTCTTTTAGGGATCCGAAGTTTTGTATGAGAAATTCTAAGAGTTGTTCCTTCAAGTCGGACATACACCGATTCAGTGTCAATTAGGTGGTATGTCTCTGGGTTGTAGGCATTTCGATACTCATTCATCCATCCCTTTACAACAAATGCATATTATGTACATTAGCTATAAATCCATGTCACTGCAGCTTTATATGCAACTCTAATTAAAGAAAGCATCATTTAACTTTAAGTTCTTTATCAGTGATCTCCTGTTTAAGTTTAAATTACAATTCCAAATGATGAAAGCTATAGGCAATAACAGGGGTTTTCAAATTTTCAAGACCTGGAACCAAATCCACAATTTCTTTTTGACTTGTAGGCTACCAGATTATAAATAATGACAATTTATTGCAACTTCATGGCAAACTGTTTAAAATGCTACCAACTTATCCCAAACAGATGCACATGCTACTAAATAATTTTCCCTAACATACTTGCTAGTGATATTTTTATTAATTGTTCACTTCATTGAATTAATTATTTTCATTACAGAGAGTGATAAATATTACAAAAATATAAGTGGGACAAACAAACTCACTGGTGAGCCACATGTGGCCCATGAATTGAGAACCCCTGGGAAATAACATTATCTTATACATAGGAAAGTTGTATTAATGTACCAGGAATATATAATTTTTATACATCCAAGTCATCTTGGTATGAATACCTGTTTGGAATACAATGACTTGAACTTCCTAATTTTATTCCATCAGGACAAAAATATGACAAAACAACAAATACAGGTGACCTACTTGATACTTATTGATTTGATGATATTCCTTTACTGCAGGTACTTCCAGTATTGGTATCTTTGTGTAATCTGGAATAATGAATTTATCATCAATCTGAAGACAATTCTCATCTGAGCTGTGTGACTTGGCAGGTTTAGTCAGACGTAAAATCCAAGCATAAACAGCAGCAACTCCAATGGAAAGAGCAATTCCACATAGAAAACCTGATATGTATGGAGGAAGAGAAATTATAAAGTGTATAAGAATCAATATAAGTGAGAGTCTGACTCCCCAGTATTGGAATCTGAGGATCAAAGACCTTTTTTGTTGACATACTGGTTTAAGTGGTGGGAAAGTAACAGGAAAAGGCTGTCGATAGTCTGTTGTTGGGATGTCATGATCATCAGGTTCTATAATGCTCAAGTTCATCTCCTCATTTACTTCTACTCCAGACTCCACTTCTTCTTCAACGAAAGGCTGAGTTTCATCAAGCACAGCACCATCAGAATCAGCAGTCACCACAACTTTATCACCTTTTCGGTTTCGCAGGACAGACAAAGTGCCACTTGCAATAACTTTTTTAGACTTCTTAGGTGTGGTGGGTGAAGACAAAGTACCAACCATCTCATGTGAACCTGATGTGATAACAGTTTCCTGAACAGTTGATGAAATGCCATCATCATCCTTTTTATTTGTGCCTGGAAACACTGCAGTTTTCTTTGGAGAGCTTTCTTCTTTATTCTCTTTCATTCTTGCTGGTCTAGCATCCTGACCTTTACTAGAGCATTCAGAAATATCCTCAGAATCACTATTTATGCTTGAATCATCCTTAATGCTACCACCTCCTGCTACAAGTCTACCTCCTCGTATACTTGATCCGCCTCCAAAGACTGAGGTACTGGGTCTATCACTTTTAATTTCTTCAACTCTCTTTGCGATTTTCCCTTTTATTTCATGAAAAAGTCTCCATGTGTCACTACTAGAGGAAGGCAATCCTCCATCAATCATTCCAGCATCAACACTAGTAGATCTCTTGCCGAAACCCTTTAAGTATTCTTTCATGGGCGAAGGGTCCCGTGAATGAATGGTGTTCGTTGCAGCTGATGCACTTGCTGTAACTCCACTCTCAGAGATGACAGACGTTGCCATTTGTGCACTGCTTGCAGAGCTACTATCTTCCTCTGAATAAAACACAAAGCAAAAATTACACATCTGCTGGAAAAAAGGAAATTAATAAATAAAAAAAATTAGTGCCTCTAGTCAAGAATAAAAGGTTTTCTCCTCAATAAAACGATTAGGAACATTTCTATCATCTTTAATCTGTGCACCTACATATTTCTATCACATAATTACTACATAACTTTCCTATGCAAGCTATATGGCCACCTCCATCCAGTGCGGTGGAGATAACAAATATTGAAACAAGAGAAAGTAACAAGTTTGTTTATTTTTTAATTTGTATAGCTGATATAATTCAATGAAAGATTCAGAAACAGTGCATACATTCATAGACTACACATTGGAATTTCTAGAGTAGTAGGTTTTTGCTTGTTGAAAAGTATGGAAATGTATGACAATACTCAACCATTTTAAAAATCCAAATAATTCTATCCCCTTGTTTCATTGTTACAGAAAGTACCAATTACTAAAAGGCACTGAAACAAAACTGAAAGGAATGGCTTCAATTGAACATAATGAAATCTGGTTCCATGAATACAGTATACCTTGTTTCTCTGTGTCCTCATCTGTTTCCTCTGCACTTGGGTATATTTCTTCCAGTTCTTCATCTTCTGCATGGAAACGAAAAGAAAAGACTGGCACAGAAGTAGTGACTGATTTACCTATAAAATAAGAAAGTTAAAATGTAATTCTTGTACAATAACAAATTCTTGCCATTGTCTCAGATTTAACTTTTATCAGCCAAGTATACCTTTGAAGGGAACATGAACAGTATCCTTTGAAGGCCTTTCATACCATATTATGTCACACATTAATTGTGCTTATATTAATTAAATGCTGTCATTTAATTGGGCTTCAATATCTACACGGGAGATTTAAACCTGATCATGGTTAAATAATCACATTATCATATAATTCTATACACAGTTAGATGAGATCCTGAAAACTACTGAAAAACCTGTCAGGATAGCCAGACTCCAGGTTGAGATATGAACCTGGGATCTCAAGAATATGAAGCGGAAGTACCATCAACTTAGCTGTGAAATTTGATGTGTAGCTCCTTTGCCACCCACAATTCTTATTAAAATACTGTCACTAGGCGTAGCAAAATCCATCTTTACATTCTCAGAAATGGATTCCATTCTCCTTGCCAGAAATGCAGAAGGTTCAAAGGTGACAATAAGGAACACATATGTACACAAATAAAACTGAGAAAATGATAATAATTTGAGTGATATGACACAATGTAATTTCCTTTCCTCTTGATAAACATAAGAAAGACCTGGTGATAACACGAGTAAAACTGCTGCAAACACGATAAAAGACAGTTCTGTACAAAACATTATTTTAAAAACTGATCCAATCTTATGGAAGAAAATATAGAGAGATCAAACAGTCATGAAATCCATCATATTGACCTCTTTATTTATGTATAAACTACTCATATTTATATAAGATAGTGCATGTGACAACACTTGTTCATTCTAATGTGAAAAGTGTACATGATCTTGATCTGTTTAGCAGCTGGGTCTGCAAACAGCAAAAGCAAATTGAGTTATTTATGACAGCAATGTGTCAGACTGCCAAAATAAACATATCCAAGGATTTCTCAGATTGTTTGTTTCAAAATAAACTGGAAATATGATGTCTCACCAATCATTTTTGTCAGACAAAAAGTGTCAAAGGAAAGAATTGATACAGAATGAATTGGTGTTACAAAGAAGTCATATTTAGCACATTATGTTTCAATGTTTACAAACATAGCAGTAAAATTAAAATAAAATAATAAAAATTATTGCTTATTTAATGAATTATATGAATGAACAAAAAAGGGACCGGCATTTTCCTCCTTCATGAATCTCACAATTTTGTGATTTATTCAAACAAAAGACTTGGATTTATACAGCTCCATCAAACTTCCAGGCAAGAGATAATGATCATGCATACCCCAACACTGTTAGCCCAGCAAGAAAACATGCTGTAAGAATAATACGAATAAACATGACATTTGATATAGTAACTTCATAACCATCCTCCATTAAAACACGGCAGAAAAGAGTCAAGAAATTACAAGAAAATTATGTATACATACCCCTTAGCATCCCTAGTGTTATTTTACTTGAACTTCCCTTCCTTCCACTCATTTTTATATTACTAGGGCAGTCAGAATGTTAGAAAGAAAACTTTCAGCTGGCAATGTGTAGTTACTTAGGAATGTTGTTAGGTCAGATAGATATGACAAGGCCTACAAAGAGAATTGCAAGATGCAAACAGGAAGCAAAACTACTAAGCAGTCTGAAAAAGTGAAAGAGAATGACTGATATTAGTATACTTTACATGGTACATATTCAAGCAGGATAATAAATATCAGTATGCAAGCAAACAGTGAAATATTAGACAGATTAACTCAATCACAACTGGGAAAAAGAGAGTTAAATTGAGATAAAAATACATGCCTTGAGTACGTTTGTGTTGTTCCATGTCCTATGAATCTGTACACTTGTTAATGTACCTGCAGCTGTGTTATGTTCTAAAACACAAAAAGTTAATGTACGTAAGTTCGCTGCACCAGATCTTTGAGAAATGGAACCATTAATTACAGCTTTGCCAATGTGCAAGATACCATCTAGTTGTAATAAATATCACCAAGCATGCGGTGTCTATGCCCAATGAGTTTTCCTATATATTCTTAACATTAACAAGCAGAACACCGCCTTGAGACTTGAAATTGAAAGCAGTACAAGTATATCTGCCCATATCTTATTTAACACACAGAATAAATGGATAATTATGAAGCTGTCAGAAAATGGACAGATTATTTAACAAGAATGAAAATGAGGAAGAAAAGACACTGACAGCTGATTAAGAGGTGGCCTCACCAAATAGATGGACCCAAAAATAATCTACAGACAGTAGTAAATACAGAGAATCAGTGATACACAAATTCCAATGTGTAGATCCGTTTTCATGAATTAACTTTTAAGATTTACTTTGAAAAAATATTCATGGTGGTTTGACTACCATATTCTTTTCATAATGGTTGAAGTCAGGTTTCCTTTGTGTGATTATGTAAACTCAAAGAAAATATGCCTGAGACAGAGAAAATTCTCTTCACATAAGGTTTTATATTACATGACTAAGAAGTAACTGTACAGCATTGCTCAAATATTCCAGATTCAGTATTTTTTATGACAGAGTAAAATACTAGCCATATTTTATAACTCCAATGGAAATGATAATGCTGTGTGGTTTCATATGTATATGACAATAGTAACTGCAGGAAAGGACGATGTAAGCAATTTGGAAAGTAACGTTAGCATTCATGGAGTTTCAAAGTGCACTACAAACAACCGTGTAAGGCCAACTTCTGTTTGTTCAACTGTGTGACAGTAGGAAAACATGTATAAGAATCATATTATACACTGCTCAACTATCCCACCTTTACCTCCAATTAAAAATAAACATACAGTAATTTTTCCTGCAAAATAAAAGTTCTGAAGTCCCTTGAACATTTACAACCTGTATCAGTACTTCCTAATAATATACCATATAACCATCCTCAAACCCTGGTTGAAATATAAGTCCAGGGACCAGTTATCCAGTCTATGGAATTTGGTGGTTTTCACTTAGGCTCACTAGGATAATATTAACATAGCACCTTAAATTAGGCCATGATCATTTCCTTCCACATCCTTTCCAATTCATAATTCATTAAATACATACCAGCAATACTACCGACAGCATTATCAAATAAACACATGTTTGGTAAACTGATCTATAATATCTCATGCCTTCATTCCAGGGCTATGGAAATAATTAAATTTCAATCATAAATCAATTAAATTTGTTTTTACTCTTACTACTTTTAAAACAACTTCAGAATACAGTTCAGTGATATTTTGATAGTACATACATAACCTTTGATATGAAATGGGGGTGGATCAAGGAAGGCACTTGTAGGTGCAGATTATATGGAACTACAATGACTGCAGCCAAATAATATATTTATATTAAAAAAGTAATCACTGAATGTTATCAATATAAAACAGACTTCAAGTTGCAAATAAACTTACACAGATACACTGTGCTTGTCACTTGGTGTATATATGCCATAAATGTTAAGAAGTTTGGTTTCTCGACTATACATACTGCAGAAGAGGGAAGTCAGAACTTGTCCAGAGTACAACAATGGTTGTGTTTCTGCACATACTGTTTTAAACAAGAGACCAACCAAAGCAGTGTGAATGGAGAGGATTAATAGGAATAAGAAATAATGTTACAAAACATAAGACAATGCTAAACAAGTAAGTGATGTGTTAATCTAGAAAAATATAGTCTCGTGCAGTCATATTCAAAGGAAAGCTTCCTAGCTGCGTTTCAAATCTCACAAACGCCATAATAGTGTTCTTAACCTATTTCATGTGACATCACAACAACTTTATGTATTTGTTAAAGCGTTTCATACAACCGGTTCAAGCACTTCAAATATTCTCCAAAATCTACCATTCACAAAGTCATAAAATGGAAAATCATAAGGCTAAATACGAGAGGTTATGTTTGTAAAAGTTGGAATACCTTCAAACTATTTACTGTAGTAGTAACGTTTCCCACAAATTATATAAACTTTACACGTATTGGTCGTGTGCTTACTAAACCACCAACAAGAAAGACTAATGGTGTCTAAACAGTTCCTCTAAGAAATTCCAAGCAACTAACTTCAAAACTTCTACATAGTACTTCTGACATGATAAAGCTGCCACGCATACCGGGATTATATAAAGTTTTTGGGCATGACCATTTTACAGGAACTATGGCTGTGACAAAACACGTTCTGACATCTCCATATCATTTACAAAACTATCTAAAAAGTTTTCTCAACAGATGTCAAAATAATCCACGAGTGGTGATACATAGTCGGCGATTGCCAAGTCGTAACCCAAATTAAACGTCGCTTTGTGCTTGATTCAGGTCATGCATCTTGGCAACCGCTAACTATTTTATGTATGACCACTGGTGGTTTGTGACTAATATGGGTCTTCTTAAGTAGTTATTGTAAATGATTCAAAGATGTCATCAAATATGCTATCTACTTGCCGTATTTATTTATACGCATATTATGAATGACGCAAGAGCTCTTACGTGTGCGTTGTAAAGAACGGATACATGTATTGTGCTCCGTGAAAAGACTGATTTACGTGCTTTTCTTTGTTTGTACATAACGCACAGATCTGATTACCGTTTGAAAACAAAATCTCTACGTAATCTAATGACTGTTACACCGCTTCCACTATCTTCATTTCCTTCATGGGCATTAACCTGTTTGTGCTCGATACTAGTGATTTGCTTAATTGTATGCAGGAACCATATTTCGTTTGTTTCTGGCCCAACAACAGTTGAAATGGCATTATGCAACACATTATGAGAAGAGTTTTTACATTCCTACTTATTGTGCTCCCTTTCACAGCTTCAAAAGATGCTTCCATTACAGAGGTAACATTTATGCGTACAAGTCATAATAATAAATAGCAACATTCGTTTGTATGTCGTTTAACATACTTTGAGAATGAACGTGCACACATTTTGTGGAATGCTTGAAGTACGACCTAGTTTTGTTGTTGTTTTCAGGGTTCTAGCAAAAATCCAGTCCAAGAATGGGATGATCCACTCCTTTTGCTCTCAACACTGGATGGCTCCTTTTATGGAGTTGGACAGAAAACAGGATACATCAGATGGACACTGAAGGATGGTAAGTTTGGAATATTCTGCTCTCATAAAAAAGGCATATTTTGAATGGTAGAAATAATTTTATTTCTTTGTTCTGTAGGCCTTTTACCAGCAGCCCATGTGCCTTATGAGAAGTAACTTATTTTATCATTTGGTAATTGAGGTTTTCATGGAGGCAGAGATTGGTGGTCTTTTGGGTTGAGATGCCACATGGACTTACAGGTTGATACCAACACATCAGAAGAATATTAGCACCCACCTACAAATGGCATCATAATCCAGATAATCATTTCATCCACTTTGCATCTCACTTTATCAAGCAAATAGTACAAATTATGAAGTGCCTAAATTTTTTTGTCTGTAAATTTTTTTTGTTACAAATTTTCTCATCAGCACTTTATTCTCAAGTACTCTCAATCTATGGTGTTGTATTTTTATTTGTAAATTGTCAGAAGTAACCAACAACAATATTTATTGGCAGACATACCATTATTCTTTTTACTTATCTAAAGGTGGTGATATGCCTTATCATTTGTATTGCTTAATAATTGGGTACCAAAGATGCAACATTCCAGAAATTTCAAAATTTCCATGGCCATTTGCATAAAAATACTGTGAATATTACAACTGTAAAGGTGTCAAGTGACATGTTATAAAAACATTGTGAATGAGACAGGCCTTCACACCCTGGATATAGTGACCAAAGGGTTAAATATGTAAGTAATTGCTCATATATCTTGAATGTATAAAGTTACATTCTTTATTTTTTTATAGAACCTGCTGTAAAAGTGCCTGTGGATACTACAAAAGCAATCATGTAAGTATGCTTCATAATTTAAATATCTGGAGTGCAGTTACAATAACACATACTATTTTCATTGGTTAATTCCTGAAATGCTAACCATTATTTATACAAATGGTATATAAATCATGTACCTGAGTGACCACATTTGTTTATCCTCCAGTATAACTGATGAAGTTAACAGTAGTGAAGGAAACAGTCTCTGTGTGACATCCTGCAGCACATTTAATTTATAGCAGAGCTACTTCCCCCACAAAGAAAGTGTGGCTGATAATCTTTTGAAGTCTTAAAAAAATACACATGCCTTAATATGTACTAGAATCATGTTTTACACATACACATACCAGTATTTTGCGACAAGAATTTTGATCACCACTACAACAAAAGTCCTTTGATGCACCATATTCTAAGCTTGTTCAGGTACGTGTATGTACATCAGTACCCTTATGCTGTGCAAGGTAGCATTGCCTCAAGCCCACATTCATGAGGCATCTGCTTCAAATCCCAGTGAATAGAAGGTTACAATATCTATGTTGTTCTGTTTTCAGACCTCTGTTCTTGCCAGATCCTAAAGATGGCTCATTGTATGTGTTAGGAAGCTCAGAGAGAGAGGCTCTTAAGAAGTTACCTTTCACCATACCACAGTTGGTTGCATCATCGCCATGTAGGAGTAGCGATGGCATTCTGTACACAGGTATGATCAGGACTGGTTGAATGATTTAACTATATGTATAATTCTGAGCCAGCACACCTCAGTCAGCGTGGTGTTTGACTACAGACTGGATGACCAGGGTTTGGTATGTAGCAGGGGCAAAGAACTTTCCATCTAGCCTCTACATCCAGACTGGGGGTCCTCATGGCAGTAAGGTATGGCCGGGATGTGACCCTGACTACCCACCCCCATCTAGTACCGAGGTCAAGAATAAGTAGCAACTACACCGCCTCTCCCCTCAAGTACCACCATGTTGTTTATTGAGACAGCTTTACTTTACATTGTGTGTAATTCAAAATATATAGATAAAATGCTGATTTTGGAAGATGCAATTTTCTTGTGTTTTATTTTTTCTGTTGTTTTTATTTTGTTTTCTGTAGGGAAGAAAATAGATACATGGTTTGCCATGGATCCAAATACAGGAGTCAAACAAGAGATTTTAAGTTTCAACAAAGCAGATAAAACATGTCCATTAGATTCCTCTGACTTTATATTTATAGGAAGATCTGGTATGTATTTTAAATCTGTAACATATTTGGGAGACCTAGTAATAAATAGTTAGGGCAAAAGGAAAATGGATCTTAAAATACAGTGAGGATGTGGAATGGATTCAGCTGGTTTAGGATTGGGGTCTAGTGGCCAGCTCTTGTGAACTTAGCAGTGAACCTTTGGGTTTGATAAGAGTGGGGGTGTTAGTTTCTCAAGAAGGACTCTGTCCCATGGAGTTGGTTTAACATATTTAATTGTATGACACTGGTAAACATTTGTTTTAGTTTGGCACCACTGTATGCTGGTAGGGGCATAAGAAGAATATGTAGAGGAGGAAAACATGTCTTAACTCTTCGCTCTATGGAATTTGGCAAATGTGGCCATAAAAAGTGTGTTCACTTTTAACTTTATTAGAACTGATTAACTTTTAATAGTAGCAGTGGAGTAGCATTTTTGCATGAATTGGTAATCACCATTATTGGTAGGTCTAAGCAACATTAAAGTAATTTATAGAGAATAAAATACTAATATCTGGAATGCTTACATTCTTATTTGAAAATTTTGTTTTCTTTCTTCTCAATTGCAGAATACAACATAATAATGTTTGACAGTAAACAAAAAGAAAGAAGATGGAATGTCACATTTTATGATTACTCCTCAAATGTAATGGATGCTGATGCACTAAATAATTATGGTATGTGAGCGGTTTAGCAAATCTGATGATTTTACTTGTTTATATCATTGGTTTCTAACAGTACATGATAAATTTGTCATCAGTTCTGAGGATGTAAATAAGATACAGGGTTGTTAATAAATACTCTGAGCATGTTTAAAATGTAGTCATAGCTGTATATGAATAGGACAAGAATGTATGATACATGTGGGAAATAAATTTATTCCTTTGCCTAAACAGTTCACCATCTGTAGGCACATAGTTAAGGGCAGTGACTTTCCTGTTTCATGTTTAATAGGAGTCAAATCAAATACATCTGTTCATAATCTGAATTTCACAGTCTAGGTTCAATACTGTGCTAAGCCTCTGAAGGGTTTTCCATGTGTTTACTAAGTGCTTGAGATGGTATTGCTAAATGCCGAAGATACTTAACTGATGTTATTACACATGATTTGTTTGATTTTCCTAGAATTTGTTCACTTCACTGCGAGCTCAACAGGACGTACTGTGAGTCTGGACCGGCGAGTGGGTACTCTCTTATGGGAAGAAAATTATGGATCCCCAGTGATTGCCATTTACCTGCTTCAGAATGAGGGCCTTGTGTCTGTGCCATTCACAATTGTTGCAGAAGAGACTTTGGATCATTTAGTGACACAATTTACATCCTCCTCAGACCAGATCAGAGTCAGCGATAAAATGAAGCTATAGTATGTATGACAGAGTTATGCATGTTAAAGACTTGTTTCCCATAAAAAGATAAAAGTTGTCCCTGGTACTTATTTATTAAGCACTAGGCCATGGGGCAGCAGAAGTACGAGGCTCGTCCACAAAGTAAGTTTCCCTGGGGCCGTTTACAGAAACAAAACACAATTTCATGGAAATATTTATTGCAACAGATACAGCAAGTGTCCAGCTATTTTTCAACATATTCGCCACCGGAATTGAGACATTTGTCATACCGTGGGACCAACTTTGGAATCCCTGT